GGCCGTAGGCGATATATCGGAGAAAATATCGTTATATCGGCTGCTGCGCAGCCGATGTAAAATATATCGTTTTTTCGTACCGATTCACAACTCTACATCCTGGCGGATCCGCCTTTCTGCGCAAGTTTTAAAATGTGGCATACCAACGAGTGGTTCGTACCGTGCCCCGACTGCTGTTGTTCCCACACCCGTATGCACGCGGTACATGGCATGTATCTGCGCTGTTGTCAACACCTTCACGCTTTTGGATTCAAACAGCACCACCTTTTAGCCGTGCTTGTGTGAGATGCAGCAGGCAGCAAGAGCGTGGTCGAGTTTATAGCCAAGACTCTCTCATCTCTGTAAGTAGTTCGCCCCCCCCCCCTACCGGTATCATCTGCAGCGGTAGGGGCGGGGAGCAGGCCGCCAACGCTGTGACGACTACCAATGGTTGATTCCTTGAAGAAGGGTTGATGCGTACAACATCAGCAATGAAACACCGCCTGGCTGGGCGGAGCAAGCTACCTCGGACGTCTCTCTCCTGGTCGATACGGAGGGATTCTCCCCGATATTTTGTCGTTGACCCAGTAGAGAACTACAGGGGATGTATTGTAAAATGTAGATTTACCTATACAGATGTTTTTGTGCTTAGCACCAGCTGGCATCACTGATAAATCATCAGTGTATAGACTTATAAAGACTCGAAATAAGTCCAGTACCCAGCCGGTTTCCCTCCACTTACTGAAAAGACTCTACCACATCCCGTTCGACTGCTGTGGGTATATCTCGAATGGGTAGTCTTTCTGTGTTCAGCTATTTCTCCTTCATAGTAGTGGAGCCATTCTCTTTCCCTCTTTGGCTCGCGATCGCAAGCCAATTACTTGCCAGCCACCCTTTCCCCCGACAGGCTCAAGCCCAACAGCAGCACACAAGTTTGGTGCCTCGGCAAGTGGCGGAAGCGCTGGTGCTGGTGCTGCTTGCTGTGGCGTGCATTGAAGTGCGACGACACGGTCATCAGCGAGCGCGTGAGGGAGATTGGGGAGATTCATGTTTCTTTTTCGGGGAACACGTACAATACATGGACACAACAAACTCACATGATGTCTGCAGGTGCGGGTAATGCGACACGCCGAACAGCAACGCGTTGGCACCGCTTGCTTGCAGGAAAGCCACGACGTAGGCTAAGCCGACCGGCGCCATGGATCCCAGATACCAAGGCTCTGATGCAAAAGCTTCTTAGGCGTGCGGCCTACACCTCACTCACAGCGCAACAACAGCAGCGACTGTTGAGTTGAATTCTCCACCTCGCCGACTCGCTAAAGCTGGAACCTCTACTGACACCCAGCAGTATGTAGTCACTGCTGCAGTGGGGCCTGTCACGTTGGACTTAGCTGAGCGACAGGGATTCCCCCAATGCGCCTAACCTTCCACCTCCAGCGAGAGAATTGTGTCCTGAGTTGGTCAGTGAAGTCACTGATGATTCGCCCATCGGGGCATCCGCAGACTGTTTTTCTGGGTACCACTATTTTGTGAAATTCAAGTTGTCCGTCACACATCATCCCACATGCCGCATAACGGTAGCGGTTACCTGCGAGTGACTAGCCTTCTGGTTGATGTACCGCGATGCGGGTGGTGATTCCTGATTTGACTGCTACTCCGCAACAAGCGATAGAGACCCTGCTCGCGATTCTGATACTGGCGGTGTTGCTGCGGCAGTCGTACTGCTGGTGCTGCGTCAGGATTGGCGTGGAGGCGGAAGAAGTTGCGGACGACCACGGCGAGCTGTACGCGACGTACCGGGTGCGCCGGAAGAGGAGGGGGAGAGACGACGAGCTCGAGGAGGAGGAGGAGGCGCTGTTCCCGCAGGAGGTCTGAGGAGGGATGGAGAGCAACGGGGTGGAGGAGATGAACCAGTTGGGAGGGAGCGGGGGGACGATACAGCTCGCTCTTGATGCTCTCAAGGAGAAAAAGGGCAGCGTGGACCAGGTGAGGCACCACCTCCCCTTTCAGCTGCCGTTGCATACATTATTTACCATTGCAACATCGTCGGATGGAAAGAGACTGCTGTGTCGAAAGCGAGAGAGACAGAGACAGAGCCCACATGAACAAAACACTTCCCGCTACCACGCATTCTCCTGGCAATGACTCTGAGAGATCGTTTAATGACAGCCTCCGGCCGATTTGGCAGACGTTGGGAACCTCACACACCCTCTGCCATAACGTAGCCCCCAGATTCCGATTCCTCTCGAAGAGGCTCCGTGACATCCACCTCGGTTTTCCGATGTCTTACCGTACGTTATGTTGTGTGCAACTTTTCTCGGCAGGCGGAAGGAAGCTCGCTTGTGTCTGTCGCCTTCACTGCACTCTAGGAAGACCGTTCAATATTCCGCACGTGTTGCAATCGCTGCTTTGAGTTGTTTTAGGGCAAAAGCCGCTTGTGCACACACAAACGTACGTCAGGTTTTTAGTTTTTTGCACGAGAGAGGCCCCGCCCTTTTCTTCTTGTGGTTGTGCCATTCCCCAGTACGTGGTCGTGGATGGGCTGTAGGGCGGGATTCCTCTATGACGTGTGCTACTGCTTTAGTAGGATAAACCACACCATGGACATGATATGCCTACTCCAAACAACATCATTGCTTGAATAACAATAGACCGTTATGCATATTCCTGGCAGATCGACCGATGCATTATTTAGGTTTCGCGAACAAGTTCAACTTGTGGGTTTGGCGGCGTTTACGGTTTGAAAAGCATGGATGTGAACGCGTGTCATCGAAGCGTGGGGCGAGAGAGGGGTAGAGAGAGATAGAGGAGCCCATTTTGTGATAATATGCGGATTGCGCTAGAACCTTGGTAGTTGCCGCGAGCAATTGTTTGAGGAGGCCACCGGCCACATATTTACCCACTCATGTTCTCTGTTCTGTGTTGGGAAAAATAAGTACACACACAGGATGACTTAAGCCCGTTCGAGATATATTATGGCCAACCACAAGATTGACGTCTTTTCATTTGTCAGCCAAATGAAGAGAAACACACACACGGTCTGTTGCAAGCCGTACCCACAGAGCCAGCACGTGCAGTTCACACGTGCACACAAGAGGGCCAACCAACAGCCCATGTTTCGTTCCTTTTCAGCACCCACCCTTTCGTTGTATACCTACAGCCTTGCACCGGGTTGTATTTCTACGTTTAGTTAAGTGGTTGCCCGAGTGTGTGGAGGGACGCTGGGACCGTTTCCCGCATTGATGTTGGCTCCTCACATATGATGTTTTAGTTTTCCGTGACTCTGTGAATAGTACAGCAACCCTCTATTGATGTTTTAGTTTCCCGTGACTCTGTGAATAGTACAGCAACCCTCCATTGGTCGTTTGCTTGTGACAAGGGAGGCACCCGGGACAGCATATATTTATGTATTTATATATATATTTTCTCCCATCATTGGACTGCTGTCGTCTGCCCCTCTGGCCCCTATCCTCCACTTCTACCAGCTAGACGACCCAACCGGGGTCACATAGGAGGGGGGGGTTGGACCCCCTCGTGCAATTCCTGCCTGATATACTTTTATCGCGAGAAGGGTACAGCAATCCCTTCCCTCGCGACTTGTGGAGTCGATCAAGTTCACTAGCAACGAGCTTTGTAGCGCGTCGCTTCCAACGGAGACCAGGATTAGCGAGAAAAAACTCCTTCTGTCGGGACTTGAACCCATGACCTGGCCCTTAGCTGGCTGCGAGGCTACTCACTAGACCACCGGGGCGACCAGCTGTAGATAGCGTATGGACCAATGCGGATGTTGGAAGAGGTATCGGAAGGACTTTTGTGCTTTGGAGACTTCACCAACAACATGTGCAGCGCTACTTTCCCCTTTACCTTGTCTACCTTCTTTGGGTATTCTTTTGGTGTTCGTATTCGCGAGCAAGCACCACCAGAAGCCATGACAACAAACACAGACGGGTGCAGACTGCAAATGTTGCCACAGAAAGGGTGGGGAATCGTGCTCGTTGCTCCGTTGCCGGCTCTCTTTGAGAGCCGATTGTGATCGCCACGACCCTCTTACACTCACGCGATATTGCACAGGACCAGTAACTTGAGGAGACGAATTTACACACAAGAAGCCGTCATTACGCAATACATTTGTTTAGTGGTTGAGAAGTTGAAGGGCCCGATTTTCGTTAAGAGTAAGAAACTTGAACTTTACACACCCACTAGTGTTGGATATTGATTCAATAAATTGATTCGAAACGATATCGCCCGTGAAGTGTTCGATATCGATATCGATATCGATATCGATATTGGCGAGCACAGTGAGCTTCCGCGCGAAGGCGCG